TTTTTTGAGACAGAGTTTCACTCTTGTTACCCAGGCTGGAGTGCAATGGCATGATCTCGGCTCACTGCAACCTCCACCTCCTGGGTTCAGGCAATTCTCCTGGCTCAGCCTCCTGAGTAGCTGGGACTACAGGCACGCACCACCATGCTCAGCTAATTTTTTGTATTTTTAGTAGAGACAGGGTTTCACCATGTTGACCAGGATGGTCTCGATCTCTTGACCTCGTGATCCACCGCCTCGGCCTCCCAAAGTGCTGGGATTACAGACTTGAGCCTCCACGCCCAGCCTCACCTGCTTCTGTTAGGATTTTTTTTTTTTTTTTTTACATTGGGAGTTTGATTACTAAATGCTTTGAGGTAGTATTCTTTGGTTTAAATCTGCTTGGTGTTCTATAACCTTCTTATCCTTGAATATTCATGTCTTTCTCTAGGTTTGGGAAGTTCTCTGATATTATCTCTTAGAGAAAATTTTCTATTCTTATCTCTTTTTCTACCACCTCTTTAAGGTCAGTAAGTCCTAGAATTGCCCTTTTTAGACTATTTCCTAGATCTCATAGACATTCTTCACTGTTTTTATTCTTTTTTCTTTTGTCTCCTCTAATTGCTTATTTTCAAATAGCCTGTCTGCAAGCTCGCTAATTCTTTCTTCTGCTTGATCAGTGCTGTTATAAAGAGGTTCTGATGCATTCTTCAGCATGTCAATTGTATTTTCAACCCTAGAATTTCTACCTAATTGTTTTTAATTATTTCAATCTCTTTGTTAAATGTATCTGATAGAATTCTGAATTCCTTCTTTGTGTTATCTTGAATTTCTTTGAGTTTCCTCAAAATAGTGATTTTGAATTCTCTGTCTGAAAGGTCATATGTGTCTATTCTCCCAGGATTGGTCCCTGGTGTCTTATTTAGTTCAATTGTTGAGGTCATGTTTTCTTGGATGATGTTAGTGCTTGTAGATATGTATGACCATTTGACAGGATGGTGAGATCTAGGCAATCTCACAAATCCTTAATTTCCTTATTTATAATATATTTATATACATATTAATATTTGTACATATTTATAAAACATATAATTTCTTAATTTCTTGTTTATAATATGCATAAGTTTGTTGTATGCATGCCAGGAAAAAATTAACAAAAAGAATATGAAATTTAAAAAAACAAGGTTGTTGTGAAAATTGGATAATACCTGTAAAACTCTTAGCATAAGTGTCTGGCACAGAGTAAGCACTCAATAAGTATTTGCTTCTGTGGAGGTAGAGGTGGAGTTCATGGGGAAGAGGAAGTACTGACTGATATAGCAAAGGACATGGTTGTACTACAGAGATGGGCACTCATCCCAGGGGAGAATACTCCTAAACTGAATCTTAAAGAATGACAGAGTTCATGAAAAAAGGAAGAGAATCAACAAAGGTATAGAAGCATAAAATGTTGTGTATATGTGGTATAGCAATTTGATACTAATAGAACTTGATGTAGGAATTGGAAATGATAGTTAGCTGATGAGACTGGAAAAGTTGGCCACTGTCAAGTCTTTGAAAGTATTGAACCTTTTTCTAAGCAAAAGGGAGACATTGAAGAATTTAAGGAAAGAGATGGCATGATCAGATTTGCATTTCTAGCTAGCTTACTCTGCAGAGTGAGGATGCTTAGAAGTGGAGACAGTATTCCATTTGAAATCTGGCACTAGACAAGGATGCCCTCTCTCACCACTCCTATTCAATAAAGTACTGGAAGTTCTAGCCAGAGCAATCAGGCAAGAAAAAGAAATAAAGGGTATTCAAATAGGAAAGGAGGGAGTCAAATTGTCTCTATTTGCAGATGACATGATTGTATATCTAGAAGACCCCATCATCTCAGCCCAAAATCTCCTGAAACTGATAAGCAACTTCAGCAAAGTCTCAGGATACAAAATCAATGTGCAAAAATCACAAGCATTCCTATACACCAATAACAGACTTAAAGAGAGCCAAATCAAGAATGAACTGCCATTCACAATTGCTACAAAGAGAATAAAATACCTAGGAATACAACTGACAAGTAAGGTAAAGGACCTCTTCAAGGAGAACTACAAACCACAGCTCAACGAAATAAGAGAGGACACAAACAGATGGAGAAATATTCCATGTTCATGGTTAGGAAGAATCAATATCGTGAAAATGACCATACTGCCCAAAGTAATTTACAGATTCAATGCTATCCCCATCAAGTTACCAATGACCTTCTTCACAGAACTGGAAAAAACCACCTTAAACTTCATATGGAACCAAAAGAGAGCACACATAGCCAAGTCAATTCTAAGCAAAAAGAACAAAGCGGGAGGCATCACACTACCAGACTTCAAACTATTCTACAAGTCTACAGTAATCAAAACAGCATGGTACTGGTACCAAAACAGAGATATAGACCAATGGAACAGAACAGAGGCCTCAGAGGCACCACAACACATCTACAACTATCTGATCTTTGACAAACCTGACAAAAACAAGCAACAGGGAAGGGATTCCCTGTTTAATAAATGATATTGGGAAAACTTGCTAGCCATGTGCAGAAAGCAGAAACTGGACCCCTTCCTGATACCTTAAACTAAAATTAACTCCAGATGGATTAAAGACTTAAACATAAGACCTAACGCCATAAAAACCCTAGAAGAAAATCTAGGCAAAACCATTCAGGACATAAGAGTAGGCAAGGACTTCATGACCAAAACACCAAAGCATTGGCAACAAAAGCCAAAATAGACAAATGAGACCTAATCAAACTCCACAGTTTCTGCACGGCAAAAGAAACAGTCATTAGAGTGAATCAGCAACCAAAAGAATGGGAAAAAATTTTTGCAGTTTACCCATCTGAGAAAGGGCTGACATCCAGAAATTACAAAGAGCTGAAACAGATTTACAAGAAAAAAACAAACAAGCCCATTCCAAAGTGGGCAAAGGATATGAACAGACACTTTACAAAAGAAGACATACATGAGGCCAACAAACATATGAAAAAATGCTCATCATCACTGGTCATCAGAGAGATGCAAATCAAAACTACATTGAGGTAGCATCTCACGCCAGTTAGAATGGCGATCATTAAAAAATCTGGAGACAACAGATGCTGGAGAGGATGTGGAGAAATAGGAACACTTTTACAGTGTTGGTGGGAGTGTAAATTAGTTCAACCATTGTGGAAGACAGTATGGCGATTCCTCAAAGACCTAGAAATAGAAATTCCATTTGACCCAGCAATCCCATTACTGGGTATATATCCAAAGGATTATAATCGTTCTACTATAAGGACACATGCACACGAATGTTCATTGCAGCACAGTTTACAATAGCAAAGACCTGGAACCAACCCAGATGCCCATCGATGACAGACTGGACAGGGAAAATGTGGCACATATACACCATGGAATATTATGCAGCCATCAAAAACGATGAGTTTGTGTCCTTTGTAGGGACATGGATGAACCTGGAAACCATCATTCTCAGCAAACTGACACAAGAGCAGAAAATCAGACACCGCATGTTCTCACTCATAAGCGGGTGTTGAACAATGAGAACACATGGACACAGGGAGGGGAGCACTACACACTGGGGTCTGTTGGGGGAAAATAGGGGAGGGACCGCGGAGGGTGGGGAGTTGGGGAGAGATAGCATGGGGAGAAATGCCAGATACAGGTGATGGGGAGGAAGGCAGCAAATCACACTGCCACGTGTGTACCTAAGCAACAATCTTGCATGTTCTTCACATGTACCCGAAAACCTAAAATGCAATTAAAAAAAAAAAGTGGAGACAGTAACTGAAGTAAGCTCTTTCATAGTTCAATTGAGAGATGAAGGTCAGAACTAGGGCCATACTGATTGAGAATGCAATGTCATTGTATTAGTATGTTCTCACATGGCTATAAGGAAATATCTGAGACTGGGTAGTTTTTAAAGTAAAGTGGTTTAATTGACTCACAGTTCCACAGTGCTAGGGAGGCCCAGGAAATTTACAATCATGGCAGAAGGGAAAGCAGGCACAGACCTTCTTCACATGAAAGCAGGAGAAAGAAGAGTGAATGAGCAAAGGGGAAAGAGCCCCTTATAAAACCACCAGCTCCCAAGAGAACTCATTCACTGTTAGGAGAACATCATGGAGGAAACTGCCCCCATGATCCAATCATCTCCCACCAGGTCCTGCGCTCCACACACAGGGATTATAGGGATTACAATTTGAGATGAGATTTGGGTGAGGACACAGAATCAAACGGTATCAGTAATTCTTGTACTTATTTTTCATATAACATACTCAGGTCCAGTCCAAGCTTTCTATTGGAAAACCAGGCTAGACAGATTGTAAGGTATATGAAAGTGCAGGTCTTGTCCATGAGGACTCTAAGAAGCCCTGTTCATGATTGCGTATCTAGTTCCTCTGTCTCACTGATTCGGTGGTGTCTTCTATTCCTCTAGGCTAAATATATTTGTTATTATCACCTAGATCAAATATTTCTACCTAATGGAAAACCACTTTTTTTTTAAGTCAAGGCACTAGAGTGAAGAATAGTGAATGAAGTGATAATGTGAAGGAAAAAAAAGGAAGTAGATCTAAGAAAAAGGAATTTGATTCTAACCTACATTAAACTAAAATCTTATTTTCTTCATCTGTTTTCCTTGCCTATTCATGAAGGTTTAAAAATGTTAATCATAATTTTTTTCTTGAATAAAGGTAGGCTGTGAAAAAACAAAAAATTCAGTTCTGTCATATTCACTTTATATCCTTCTTTGCCCTGTGGGAAATAGACTTCCAGTTGGTCAAATTTCCCTCAGCACAAATCCTGTTGCAAGGAGCTGCATCCATTTTGTAGACTGTGTTTGCAAGCACAGCTTGTTAGGAGTATATGGGAAAAGTATGTTAATGTTTTAGAAAGGATGGTATCATTTCTCTTGGTGTGTGTGTATGTATGTATATATTCTACAGTTCATCCATTTAGAGTGTAAAATTTAATTGCTGCTTGTTTCTTTAACAGGGAAAAAAAGATGTGACCCAGATATTTAACAACATCCTGAGAAGACAGATAGGCACTCGGAGTCCTACTGTGGAGTATATTAGTGCTCATCCTCATATCCTGTTTATGCTCCTCAAAGGGTAGGTACATGACTTCCTTTCAAGTAGGGCTGAGTTTATAATCGTTGTTAAAAGTACATAGCATTAGTCTCATTTGAGATAGGATCAGTTCCCTTTGGAAGTGCAGTAAAGGTATTTGTCATACATGAGGTCAGCCCTCCAGATCTGTCTCTGTGATTACTTAGGCTGCAGCAAAATCCTTTCTTTGCACCTTAGTTTCTAAATGTTATGTTTTTACTTACTGTCTTTCTTTCCTCCATATTTCTGCTATCTCTGTGTCTTCCTATTACAGTATTGCTGGTGCTTCCCTATCTGCCCTATTCCTAGCTGCCCACTTACCCTTTTCCTGCTGTATTAGACTGAATGCCCTCACTACACACACATGCACCCATATACACATTCTGGTTCTGGGAACTCAAATACAGGTATGAGAGTTTTTCCAGTAGCTAGCATCTGCCAAGGAGAATGTATATGAGTCTATAGGGAAGCCATAAGACCAAAGTCCAGCTAGCTAATAGAATCCCTGATTATTATTTTTATGTATACTTCTTTGTATATGCTTCTTGGGCATTTGGGGGCTACTCTGAATCATAAAGACTGAAGATCTGGGTGTAGCAAGGCTTGAGGACAGCAGACCATCTTCCCTTCGTCTGTCTTTCTACTCCACCATCTCAAATCAGCAAGTCTTTTTATTTTATTGTATTGCTGTTTTCAATTTTGCTGTTTCATACCTAGTCCGTCTTACTGATGTTAAGTTTCTCTCTTGTACATTTTAAAATATTTAAGTGTATTGAAATAATACATAGTTTAAAAATCAGATATATCAATATGTAGCAGTTCTTCACTTTTTTTTTTTTTTTTTTTTTTTGACATGGAGTCTCATTCTGTTGCCCAGGCTGGAGTACAGTGGCATGACCTTGGCTCACTGCAACCTCCACCTCCCAGATTCAAGCAATTCTCCTGCCTCAGCCTCTGGGTAGCTGGGATTATGGGCACCCACCACCACACATGGCTAATTTTTATATTTTTAGTAGAGACAGGGTTTCACTTTTGGCCAAGCTGGTCTTGAACTCCTGACTTCAAGTGATCCACCCGCCTCTGCCTCCCAAAGTGCTAGGATTATAACTGGGAGCCACCATGCCCAGCCTCTTTGCCTCTTCTCCATTTTTCAGACCTACTACCCAAAGACAACTATTTTCACCTTTTTTATTTGTTCATCATTGTATTCATGATATATTTACTTATGTGTTACAAATAATGGACTTATACTAATTTTTCATTTATCAATTTTAAGCAGTATCTTTGACAAGATAAACTAAATGATAGTCTTTTTACTGCCACCATTCTATTTCCTTTCCCTTTTCCTTTTAATAAATTTTATCATAATTTTAAATTTTAATAATCACATTTAGATTATTATGATTGTGTAGTTACTATTCCTTAGTGAGCAAAGGAATATGCTATGATGATTTTGGTTTTGGGTACAAAATAATTGTTTTAGTGGAGAATTGTTTCTTTCAGTTCTGGAAAGGGAAATATTCTTGTATCATGTATTAGTTAGGGTATGCGAAGCCTCTGTAACACATAGATCCCAAAGTGAAGTGGCCGCACAACAAGATAAGTATACTTCTCACATAATAGTGCAGAGAAGATTTCTGGGTCATCGGGGTTCTGTCATCTTCAGCATGTGCTATCTAAGATCACTTTTTTCATTGCCATTTCAGCCCAAAGGAAGGTGAGAGTATATAAGAGATTTTATGTGTTTGGAGACTGACAAGAATTCTGGTGTGATGAGAGCTCTGTGTGAGTCAGAGGAAAGGGTGCGGTATGAAGCTGCAAAGACTGAGACTAGTTTATGAAGAGCTTTCCAAGTCCTACTAGGAAATTTGAATGTCATTCTATAAGCAACATGGAATCATCCAGGGACTAGACACGAGGAGTTCTGGTGGCAATGTAGCAAATGGCTTCGAGGTGGGAGACTGAGATTCCAGCTTGGTAGAGTCTAGGGAAGAGATTAACAACAGAACTTTAATGGAGATACTGAGAATGAAGAGAATGGGTATTTGAAAACATTTTTATTCCCTTCCAATTCAAAGGTAATGCATGGTTATTATTTAAAAATGCAAACATTTTAGAAATGTACCATATAAAAAGAAAGTGCATCTCATAATCTCTCCAAAAGAAATCACTATTGACACTTGGGGGACTACACCTCTGGTTTTAATTCTCTGTTACAGTGATTATTCTGTTTTTCAGCCCAAACTTTTAACTATTCCTTCACATCCTGTTTTGTATAAACCATTTACTCATTGTTTGCTATGTACCAGCTATTGTAATATCTTTACTTATGTTATATTATTTACTTTCCAAACACTATGAGGACTACGTATTAATTTTTACCATTTTACAGATGAGGAAACTGAAACTCAGAGAGAGAAAAGATGTTGCTCAAGGTTATACAGCTAATACATGACAGACCCTAGTTTTCCATCCAGATCTGACACTAAATCCCATGTTCCTTTCCATTAACATACCTTTAAGAAGATTCGAGGCCCCTACAAAGTGAAGGGGGAGGGAATTGTTGATGTTCCTGAGGACGGGGTAGACAACAAGAAGCTTTAACTGGAACAGTCGTAACCATAATCTGTTTGACCTGCTACCATTTTCTTTTTTTTTTTCTTTTTCCTTCTTTCTTTTTTTTTTCTTTTGAGATGGGGTCTTGCTCTGTTACGCAGGCTGGAGTACAGTGGCGCAATGTCAGCTCACTGCAACCTCCACCTCCTGGGTTCAAGCGATTCTCTTGCCTCAACCTCCTAAGTAGCTAGGACTACAGCCACGTGCTGCCATGCCCATCTAATTTTTTGTATTTTTAGTAGACACGGGGTTTCATTGTGTTAGCAAGGATAGTCTTGATCTCTTGACCTCGTGATCCGCCCAAAGTGCTGGGATTACAGGCTTGAGCCACCATGCCTGGCCCCTGTTACCATTTTCTAATTTATCATTAGAATGTTAGAGACTTCGCTCTTCTTAAAAGTCAGGATTTGTACTGAATTATCTCTTGTGAAGTCACTTGAAAACCTAGGACATAGCTTGACTGGTACATTTATACATCAAACAATAATATTATATGAGAGTATGATAGTAACAGTCTATACAGAACCTAAGTCTAACAATAAAGAATATAAGACAAAAAGCAATTGATACTTGTCTATCAAAGAGAATTATCTGGATATGTGGTGTTAAACATGGTAGAAAGCATTTGGAGCCCAAATGTTATGAAAAGATTATAAATAGGACTTACTCACTCTAAATGAATTTGTCTTCTGGCTCGGGCAAATGACATTCCAGGGTACTGAGAGAACTTGAGAATGAGGTCACTGAACTGCTCTCAGTGATCCATAAAGAACTGTGGCCAGTGGACTATGTTCCAGAGAGCCGATGTTAAAATCATCAATTTTTCCCAATTACCCTGTTTTTTTAAAGTTTATTGCAAAAAAGTTTAAGCAGTTTCACTTTGGCAATTATCTTACAGATGGTACTATGTAGTTCATATTTTATCACATCAGGAGATGTACTTTTAGTAATGCTAAAACTGAGCAATGGGTTCAGATGGTGACAGTCTGATCCACCATAAAGTTTCCCATCGACCTTAAACTTAATTGTTTTACCATCCATTGATGAACATTGCCTGATTCAGTCATTTCACTAGAGATGACAAAAAGGTGATTTTGAATCTGTCATTCCTTTCGTATTTTTTATTGGCTAGAGTAGTTTTATAGAGAATACTGTCATTCATTCACCACAGATTTGGGTGTTAGAATACTCTGAAGTACAAATCATACCACAGATACAGAATAAATGCTTAATTCTTTTAATTATAGAGGAAAAAATAAGATACCCTAGGAACTTTCAATGGTATCTCATGAGTTATTTTCCTCCCTCCCCCTCCCTTTACATATGTGTGTATATAAATATATATGTTTACATTTGTATACGGACACACACTCTCTTCTAGTATCTGAGAAACTAATGGATTTAATGTTTTCTATATGTCTTATTTAGTTCTACACATTTTTTTAAATGCTCAATTGACCATCTGTGGCCCCTTCTGGGTGATATCTCTTAACATCACTAAAATAGTTTGTGAGAGCTTCCTTACTTCCTGGTGTAACAAGATATGCCACCCAACTGGTACATTTGCTAACAAAGACCTGACATTTCTACCAAGGATATTGGTTCTTTTTAGAGAGGAACGGTTCTTAGAGACTACAATCTGGATGCTAGGGGTGCTCCTTAACATTGGATTGTTGTTGCTTCTAGGCCTTTTTGGTGGACAGAATTAACTCATTATTTTATTTATTTATTGAGACAGGATCCTGCTCTGTTGCCTATACTAGAATGTAGTGCTGTGATCACAACTTACTACAGTCTCAACCTCCTAGGCTCAAGTGATTCTCTTGATTCAGCCTTCCAAGTAGCCGGGACTACAAGTGCATGATACCACACTCAGCTAATCAAAAAAAAATTTTTTTTTGTAGAGACAGGGTCCAACTATGTTTTCCAGGCTGGTCTCAAGCTCCTAGGCTCAAGTGATCCTCCTGCCTCGGCCTCCCAAAGTGCTGGGATTATGAGCCACTGTGCCTGGCCTAACTCGTTATTTTTAGTCAGCAAACACTTCTAGATTAGAAACATACCTTCTTGACTATATTGAGGAGACCAAGTGTTTATTGAATGGCATTTTACAAAAGTTATCCAAGTATTGCTTTGCATTATTTACTTCCAGCAATAATCACAAAACTCATTTTTCCCCTTACATAATGTAATCTTTGTTCTTAAATTAAAATATTCTTGCACAAGATCATTCTTCTAACCATTGTCTGTGTAATGATTACCATAGCTACTGCTAGCTGAAACAATTTGCTCCTACATTTTGGCTTTCATTAAATTTGAGAGAGAACTTTCATTATACTCTCATTATTCGATGGGCATGCCTATATAGTGGTGTGCCTTCTCATACTGACATAGTTCATTGCAGTCCAGACCATATGATCCAAACTACAAATCAAGAGGGAAGATATGATTCAATTCTATAAAATGGTGATTCAACACTCATCAGATTCACTTTTACTGGGGACCTGCCATGGGTTAACCATTGTGGGAAACAGTAATTAGGCATGATCTTTGCCATCAGGAAGCTTATCTATGAGTAGCATAGATTAGGAGAGATAAATATTAATTCTTTACCAGACCTAAGGATATTAATGATAGTGGGATTTGAAACTTAACATAAGCTTAACTTATGGAACACTTCTTTATATAGTAAGCAATAACCTATCAAAAGTCAATATCCTAGAAGGTAGTCAGGTGGAAATGATCTATGTGAATTATAAATCCCTTAAAGAGTACTGAGGATAATTAGGATACTCTATATATCTCTGTATATTCCTATATATTTCTAACTTACAGAAGTTGCAATCTCAGAACGACAGATGCAAACTGCTGAGATGCAATAACAAGGGTACTGACTCAGAGGAGTCTTGGTTTTTAGAAAAGTTCTTTTATTTCTTAAGAATAAACTGTTAGTGCATCACAGATGGTTTCAATAAGCCTCACTAAATGAAAGGAAAAAGAGAACTAATTACACCCAAAAATTGGAGTGGAAACTTTTTATAGATGGTCTTAGTTTGGAAATTGAATTAAGAAATGAGAAAATGTTGGCCAGAGATGATGCATATTTTGTATAATTCAGAGTTTGACTCTCATTAGGGTACTCTAGTATTATGACATTTCTCCAGTTTGAGGTTTATTACATTCTTTATATGCATGCTTTGTGAAAAACATTATGCTAGGCACTCTTTGGAGACAGGGGGAGGGACAGGAGAAAGTAGCAATAAATAAGACAAAGACACTAAATGGAGATGGGGATAGGGGAGGAGAAAAACATATCCCCATCAATTAAATTGATTGTAATGAAGTCACGAAAATAGACTTGTAGCAATTTACTGCAGTATATCATAATACAGAATTTTAAAACTGTTAAGGTGAAATTACAGACAAGCTGTTGTGTGAATGTGAAGGGGAGAGAGAATAATCCTGAATTGTAGTGATTAGGAAAGTCTTCAAGGAGGAGGTGGCATTTGAACTAAGCCTTGGAAGATAAGAAACATCTCAGTGGTAGGAATGTAAGAAGAAAGGCATTCCAATTGAGGGAATGAGGTGCTCCAGGGAAATGGCCAATGTGATGGGAGATGAAACTGAAAAGTTAAGGTTAGGGCCAAATTATAAAAATCCACACATACCATACTAATCAGTAAGTCTGGATTTTAATTGTCCTTCCCTTAGATGCTTTCTGTAGGCCAACAGCCTTTATTTTAAATTATCTTGAGTACTACATCAATAAATAACAGTGCTTTTCTCCTTCACATTTCAGAACATATGCCCTTCTTTACAACATCTTTAATAAGACCCCACCTAATTTGTTCCTTGTGAGCCAGGAGGCTGATTTTCAAGTTTCTAATAAGAGAAATTGCTAGCACTATAAATTGTCATTCCTTATATTCTACAAAGAATCATAACTATCTGAATATATTAGCATTTAATGTTACTCTAAGTTATTCAAGGAATACTCAAATGATATTTGTGAATATCATTCAGCATAAACAGGACAGAAATGAATAAATACTACCCTGATACCTTTGTTTGCCGTTTCCTCTACTAATATTTGTAAATTTGATATTGCAGAGTAGTCTGTTTCCTGAATTGAATCTTTATTCTTGAATCTGTCTTTCATGAAAATTCTATAATCTTATAAAGAATAGTACATTATTTATTGTTCAACAAAATGTTGTCGCTAGTAATTGATGAATAATAAAATATCTTAAAGTTTGATGATATCATACAAGTATCATAAAAGCTAGTATTCAGTTGAAATGGTCAATGATATTTCTTTAAAAATTTGATCGGATTTTATTTTTTATTTTTGGAGACAGGGTCTCGCTTAACCTCCCAGACTCAAGCAATCCTCCCACCTCAGCCTCCTGAGTAGCTGGGACTACAGGCATGTGCCACCATGCCCAGATAATTTTTTTATTTTTTGTAAAGTCAGGGTCTCACTATGTTGCCCAGGCTAGTCTCAAACTCCTGGGCTCAAGCAGTCCATCCACCTTAGCCTCCCAAAGTGCTGGGATTACAGAAGTAAGCAGTCATGCCCCTCCAGATTTTTTTTTTTTTTTTTTGCCCTATATTCTGCCCACTTCCTAGCATTTCACAACTATATCTTTCTTTGTTCTATTCTTCTCATATTTAGCACACAATTGTCAATCATATTATTTCAATACAGGGCTTATTATACTTGGGCTAAGCATTATTCATTGTTTTAAAATCTTATCACACACTGGAATGTATCTTTTTTTTTTTTTTTTTGAGACAGTCTTGCTCTGTTGCCAGGCTGGAGTGCAGTGGTGTGATCTTGGCTCACTGCATCCTCCACCTCCCATGTTCAAGTGATTCTCCTGCCTCAGCCTCCCGAGTAGCTGGGACTACAGGCATGCACCACCACACCCGGCTAATTTTTGGAATTTTAGTAAAGACAGGGTTTCACCATGATGGCCAGGATAATCTCGATCTCTTGACCTCGTGATCCACCAGCCTCCCAAAGTGCTGATATTACAGGCGTGAGCCACCACAATCAGTCTGGAATATATCTTAGACTTAGATTTATTTAGATATTGAATTCAACTTTGAGAGATTGCTGTTATATTAGAAATGGAACCGATCTAGTATGCCTGTCCTGAATTGTTTCCCACAGTAGATGTTTTATTTGTCTAGTGTAGTTTTTGCCATGAGCCATGATTTCACTTAGAATTTAAGTGGCTTAATCAATCCACAGCTATGCATTAGTCACCTATTGCATGAAAATTGTGTATTTATATAGTTCTCCCCTATCTTTTTCCTAAACTCCAGAGGGGTGTGTACTACTGCCATGGAGACATTTCTGCTTAGGTATCAGCTATCTCAAAACTAACGTGGTCAACCACAAACTCTTAGTTTCTTCACTAACTTGTTCCTCTGCTAGTTTATTCCTCTTAATAAGTAGCACCACTGTCCACCCAGTGATTTGAGCCAAAAACATAGGAATCATTCTTGAATTCTCAGTTTCCAAATTTATTCCCACAGTCCAGCTACATTATCAGCAAGTCCTGGTGACTCTTCCTCTGAGCAGTATCCACCACCTGCCCACAGTCCTCTGTTCTGCTCCTGCCACCCCAGGCCAACCCCCAGTTCCCTCTCCTGGGCTTCTGCTCCTGTTCCTATCTTGCCTTCCGATGTTTAACATACATTCCCAACAAGAAGCCAGAGTGATCTTTTTTTTCTTTTTTTTTGAGATGGAGTTTCACTCTTGTTACCCAGGCTGGAGTGCAATGGCGCGATCTCGGCTCACAGCAACCTCTGCCTCCTGGGTTCAGGCAATTCTCCTGCCTCAGCCTCCTGAGTAGCTGGGATTACAGGCACGTGCCACCATGCCCAGCTAATTTTTTGCATTTTTAGTAGAGACGGGGTTTCACCATGTTGACCAGGATGGTCTCGATCTCTTGACCTCGCGATCCACCCGCCTCAGCCTCCCAAGGCTTGAGCCACTGCACCCAGCCAGAGTGATCTTTTTAAAGCATAAGTTCGCCTTGTCAATTTCTTGCTTTAAACTCTCCAAAGGCTTCCCATTACACTTAAAATAAAACCCCACTGCTTACCTTGGCTGCCGAAACTGTATCTGATCTGGCCCCTGCCTTCTCTCCAATTTTACATCACTCATGGTTCTTCCCTACAATCGAATCACACAGGTCTTATTTCTCCTTCTCCATTTCCCCAGGCCTATTCTTGCCATGGAGACTTTGCACAGTTACTTTCCTTTGCCTGGAACATTTTGTCCTTTCCATTAGTCTAAAGTAAAGTAATTTAAGTAGTCACTCACATGCACACACCCACGAAATTAAGTAGTCACCTTAATAATGTGGCGTATTTTATTGTCATCAGTTTTCACAGCACTTCTCAGTATATGAAATTATCTTTTCATTGTTTACGTTCTGCCTTGTCCCCCCACCGGATACACTCAGATATGAACATGGTGACAGTGGCGACCTCATGTTTACTGTTGTCTCCCCAGCATCTGGAATAGTGCCAGGCCCATACTAGATCTTCAGTGGGTATTGAATGAGTGGTGTTTGAATGAACTGTGACAAATGGTATGTGTGTTTCCATTAACAGCAGTATTGAAATGGTTCTTTTGATGCCATTAATATTATTTTAATAGGGTAACAGAGTTCTGTATTTCTCTCTTGTTTATGCTTTAGATACGAAGCCCCACAGATTGCATTACGTTGTGGGATTATGCTGAGAGAATGTATTCGACATGAACCACTTGCCAAAATCATCCTCTTTTCTAATCAATTCAGAGATTTCTTTAAGTATGTGGAGTTGTCAACATTTGATATTGCTTCAGATGCCTTTGCTACTTTTAAGGTAATTTATTTTTCTAAATCAGGTAGGCCATTTATAGTCACTTGGCCGCTGAAGGGACAATTTAATTTTAAAAAGCAAGAAATTTTATTTCTTAGGCCTCGGCGTAGCCAACCATGTATGATGTGGCTCATAAGAGGCATCTGTAAATAGAATGCAGTCTATGAGGCCAGTCTGTCCTATTGCAGAAAAACAACTCAAAATATTTGTCACAGGCTCAAATGGAATGAATTCCAGTATATACACTTTTGCAACAAAGACATATGTAGTGCTCTGTGTGTGGCATGCCGTCATTTATGTTAAAAGCGGGTTAAAGGGCATAAGCTTCCACTTAAGATACATATACACTGAATACCTCTGGAAGAATGCATAGAAAACAGCAACAGTGATTACTTCTGGGGAAAGGAACTAGGTAGTGAAGGGAGATGGAGAATTTCATCTTTGAATGTGAAGGGCATCATGTTATTTTATGAATGTAATTTTTAAATGTCCACATGGTAAAACAAAATAGTAATACATGATATTGCAGTTTTTCATAATCATCTACAGTTTGATCATGTATTATCTACTTTGTCACTATGTAGGAACTTGTAGGATGAAGTATATCCACATTGTTAGGTCACTGACTACCAGAACTTTTTACTTTGAAAAATTCAAACTCTACCTCTATACTTATTTTGTCTTTTTGGTTTTTTTTCCCCTTTTTGTGGAGAATGGGGTCTCACTATATTGCTCAGCCAGGTCTTGAACTCCTCAGCTCAAGCTATCCTCCCACCTCTGCCTCCCTAAGACCTGGGATTACAGGCGTAAGCCACAGCCCCTGGCCCTCTACCTCTATACTTATTAAACAATAACTCCCCATTTCCTCCTCCCTCCAGCCCCTGACAACCATTTTACTTTTGATTTCTGTGTTTAATCATCAAAAAGATGTTCAGAGAATATATCAGAAAAGAGTGCAGCTAATTTGCAGACAAGCACACCAACACTTATTAATCAGATGAGTGATGTTACATTTCAGGTTTCTATTTTAGAAAACCTTTTACTTAGACTTACGATCCTGCTATTATTTAACATATTTTGAACTTGGTATCAATGTGTATGACATGTTTATTTTTCAATAATGGCAAACTTTTATCTTTCAAGGGCAGATAAAAGTTTTGGAAACAAAAACCTATTTGACATTTCAGTTAGTGCATAAGGTGGGTGATCAAGTTAGCTAGAATTATTTGGGGGCATAATGATTATCATAAAAATAAATTTTAAGATATAAATAAAATACACATGATTTTCTTCAGTGTCTACCAAATCAGCTCTGAAGGCCATTTTAGAAGAGGAATTCCAAAAATATTATAAGCTGACAATGTAATAGCAGCATTGAAAAAAAATAGGCTTTCAGTTTGAAAAAGTAGATAAGACTCATTTAAGGTGTGTGTGTGTGTGTGTGTGTGTGTGTATATATGTATATCAGATTCATCAGATATATATACACACACACATTTTCTGATTCATTTCTTTAAAAGCATTTTAACAATTTACATAATTCCAAATTAATTCATACTTTTTTCAGGATATACATATATAACTTTTTTACAAGTTTTACTTAATTGTAATCCATGTATGAATTATTATTTTTATATATTATCTTACATACATATTTCAATAACATTGGTAGAGTTCATATACTAATATTAATACATACTCCAATCTTATTACTTTATGAACAGTGTTTGAAAGTTGCCTATGACTTAGATAATAAATAGTTCTTTTTAAATAGCTCTCCAGTGGTGGAAAAAGGGGAAAGCAGTGGTTTGCTGTGCTGAAAACTACCTATTATCCACAGACTAGGAAGTTACCCAGCCTGTTCTGAGAAGGTGCCATAAGTCTGTTGAAAGGTCACATGGTCACAGAGAGTGTGAGAGAGTGTTAGAGTCGGTAAAGGGTGGGAGATGTCAGTGGAGTTAAAGGAAGCTGGGACTTAGGGAGAAGAATGCCTGGCTCCTGGCGGAGGGTGAGGGACAGGGCATGGTCTCTGTGGAGGCGGAACCTGCAGTCTCAGCAGTCAGACGGATTTGTTGTGATGAAGAAGATCAAACAGTGGTGGGTGGTTAAAGGGGAGGCAAGTCCTGGCAGCTGCCTGGGACATGATCTATAATAGCAACCAGGCCATCTCTGGAAATACAGTGAGCTAAGGAAAATCGAATTGATGAAAATTCTGCAGGGAGAATACTCTTTGAGAATGATGGGAATATTTGGAAGCCACTTGGGGTGGGCTGGGGGTAGATTCCAGGACAGCCTTAAGCAACAGCAGCTGGTTGTCCACAGCTGCCAAGGAGCACGGTGAGCCCAGTTAACTGCAGCAGTTTTTGAGACAAAGTCTTACTTCATCACTTAGGCTTGAGTCCAGTGGTACAATCTAAGCTCATTGCAGCCTTGAACTCCCAGGCTCAGGTGATCCTCCCACCTCAGCCTCCCAGGTAGCTGGGACCACAGGCACATACCACCACACCCAGCTAATTTTTGTATTTTTAGTAGAGATGGGGTTTTGCCATGTTGGCCGGGCTGGTCTTGAACTCCTGACTTCAAGTGATCCACCCACCTTGGCCCTTCCCAAAGTGCCTGGGATTACCAGTGTGAGCCACTGGACCCAGCCACTGTGGCATTTTTGTCATAGCAGGAGGGTGTTTGGGTTTTGGACCAGCACTGAATTGCCTGAGACAACAGAGGAAATGCCATCATTTCCACCAAAGTCTCAGGGAAACCTGCAACAAACACAAGGCCTCTAGCAACTGCGTTTGAAAGGACAGTGTTCGCAGCCTGCTTGGGTGTTCACAGGCCTCCATTCAGCGTGCTGGAGAAGGGAAGGAGCGTTAAGGAGAGATGAAGTATAAAGAGTAGGAGGGAGGCTTGGGGTAAGGAAAGCAAAATCTCAGGAGAATGAGGGAAGGAAGGAAGGAAGTAAAGGAGGGAGGGAAGGCTTGGGAACAGACTCCAAGAAATGACTGCTGGGTGGAGGCAGGGGCGGTGAGGGCAACAGCATGGCTCTGGGCTCGGAGTGCTGGAAATGCCAGGAGCAGCCATGTCTCACTCCAGCAGACAAAAATTGTACAGCGGCTAGAGATGAGCCCCCAAAAAGGTGGATATGGAGCATATGGTAAGATAGGCCTTGGTTGCATCAAACATGAAGAATGACGTTAAGTACAAAGGATGATTCCATTTCTTTCTACCAAAATGTCTGTGTCTAAACTACTAAGGAGGTGTTTGCTAATAATAGACATTACAGTCCCAGTTTTTTTTCTTTCCTATCAGATGACTCTTCACTGCCATGGAAACAAGTAAATTCATTTTTTAAAAAACCGCAAGTAAGACTTCACATAATTACAAACATAGAACAAACACTAATTCAGGGAAAAAGCAAATACTTAATGAAAATGTATTTCTGAAAATTTCCCCAAAGGTTTTTAAACATTTAATACAATAAAATGCACTTGATAGTAATTTCTCGTTGTCATACATTAAGCCCAATTTGATTTTCAGAAATAATATTGAATCACAAAAATAAATGATGATGTTTTAATTTGTATTTAAGCCAATTTTCCATTGAGTTTAAGTCAATCCTTTAAAGTCTAAATAATCATAAAAAGTTTTCTAGTATGCTGCCAGTATTGGAAACACCAATTTTCTATATTTTACCAAATGTTTATGATTAATATAATGTAACAATAACCATAAATCACTTTTTTTTTAAGTAGTTGGTTTCTTTCTTTCTTTCTTTTTTGAGACAGAGTCTCACACTGTCACCAGGGCTGGAGTGCAATGGCATGATCTCCACTCACTGCAACCTCCGCCTACTAGGTTCACGAAATTCTCCTGCCTCAGCCTCCCAAGTAGCTGGGATTACAGGTGCACACTACCATACCTGGCTAATTTTTTTGTATTTTTGGTAGAGACTGAGTTTCACTATGTGAACTCCTGACCTCGTGATCCGCCTGCCTCAGACACCCAAAGTGCCTGGATTACAGGCTTGAGCCACCACACCTGGCCAATTAGCTGGTTTCAAAGGGTTTTGTTTGGTTGGTTGATTGACTTGATTTTGGCATTGGCTTTGGGTTTTTATAACCTCCTACTCTAGTCTTTTTGGTTTTGAGCTATTAAAGAAATTGTTGCCCAGTTTAGTTATTAATATTGTAACATTATTTATGTTTTCAGCATAGATTTGTCTACCAATAGTCCTTTCTCAAAAAATGATTCCTTACAACCATAATCTCTTTCATCCCTCCCTCTAAAAAGTCCCACAATAGGAATGATTTGAATTCCATCTTTCTCTGCCACCTGATAAGCTGGATGTCCTTGAGCAATTTAGTTAACCTTTGGGTTTTACTTTTTCACATCTGTGAAACGAAGAATCATGGACCTGTGAAGATGAAAAACCACGTTTGTAAAGTGCTCAGCACACTCCCCAGCGCACAGTCAGCCCTCTTAACAGCAACTGTGGCTGGCTCCTCAGCCTTTTATGTCCCTGCACTCACCCAAGTTTTTCCAAGCAGAATTCACTAAAAATATCACTATCTGATTTTTGGCATTATAGTTATACTATGCAAAACTTAGGGTTAAAAACAGAATCTTTAGGAGGTAGGATGAAAGAGTACACTATTTGAAATAAGGTTTTTAAATTCTAAATTCTTTAACGTTGAACTTTACTTTTCTTCACAATTTTCTGTCTTTTCCTTCTTGGGTAGGATCTTAGCTGGGTGTGTGTGTGGGTGTGTGTGTGTGTGTGTGTGTGTGTGTTTTACTCACGTGATCTATAATGCAGCGATTATATTTACTTATGTCTTATATGCACATAAGCCTGTGTGTATGTATATATGGTTTGTACATACACTTATTATGCAGATAAATTTGAGGGTGTATCTATGTATCAATCCTATTACACACTTAAGTGGAAATGTGGGCGTGAGAAAGGGAATGTGTGCATTGCTTTTTGGCTGTATCCATGATATATATGTATGCTGCAGGAGCCCCACCCTATTAGGGTTTTCTAATACTGGATTTTTAAGCTCTTTCAAGGTTTTTTTGCCCTTGGAATTTGAAAGTCTTGGTTTTAACTTAACTCCCTCTTGATCCCTTTTTCGCTGGGATAACACTAATGTATGATGCAACCTTTCTAGGCAGCACTGGTCTGCAAACTGCTCCTTTTGTTGCCACTGGGGCTTTGTGCACTGGGCCTGCAGTGTGGGAAACCCACACCTCACTTTCAAGGCTGATGATAGCTGTAGCAGGTGAAGAACTCCCACGGGTGGGTGCAGTGATCCACAGTGTCTGCTGTAGCCCACAGAAAGAGCTCCATCTGGCCTGGGTCCGCTCAGAAAATTCCTATAACAGCTCATGGGGTTTCTATGACCTTAGGGGAGAGGTGCTTGAATACACGACACCAATATTATCCTTTTAAAAAAAAGAGTAGGGACCTCAAAGGACCCTGTGGAACTACCTTACTCTTTTACTCTTACAGGCCAGGAATGGAAGCCCTGTAAATGGTTTTCCCATTTTAGAACTCCAGTTACAGAGCAGTACTGAGTGCTCTGCTCCAACTCAAAACAAAGCAAAACAAAACAAGACACTACCATGTTTCCACTGACAGGCCCAGTAGTTGATCAAGTTGTGTGATAACAAGCAATAGGGAACTAAGAGCCACTCTTAATGGTTTTTGAGCTTGAAAATTATAGTACACAATGCTTTAAATATTTTACTTTTCTAAAAATTAAAGTAGAAATGAGTGGGTATCTGTTGCTATCTGCCTTTTCTTTGTGAGGTGTTCTGTATCTTTTATATACTTTTCAGAAACTTTAATTAAATATGTATTAAAGAATAAGAATTTGTTTTGGAAAACTTTAAAATTCTTATTATGTTTTTAATTAAATTTTTTATGGCACCTAGACAGGGTATTTAGCCTCTAAGCATATCAAAGGGATTAAGTGATGCTTGTTTTCCTACAACGTTAAGGTGAATTAAGGATATAATTTAGGTATGAGTTGAAGACAGTCAGATGTTTTTTCATGCTTTTGTTCAGTTTTCTGCAAGTTTATATCTGCCATAAGATAGGGCTACCCATCTTCAACTTTGAAAGGATGCATTGTGCTGCTCGGTAACGTGCACAACACCTCACACCCCATTAACCCACGGGCAGGGACAGTACTGGTTTGACACCGCTAAATGGCAGTTCTATGCTTCCAGTATCTGAAGCGCCTTTATTTTTAAAGTGGTTAAGAAAAAAATAAAAGGTTTAAATTCTTTGAAAATATGTTATCTTGTGAGATATTGTTTTAAGCCATTCAGAGTTCATTTTAAAAAAAGATTAGTTATTGGCTGGGCGTGGTGGCTCAAGCCTGTAATCCTAGCACTTTGGGAGGCCAAGGTGGGTGGATCACTAGGTCAAGAGATTGAGACCATCCTGGTCAACATGGTGAAACCCCGTTTCTACTAAAAATACAAAAAATTAGCTGGGCATGGTGGCACGTGCCTGTAATCCCAGCTACTCAGGAGGCTGAGGCAGGAGAATTGCCTGAACCCAGGAGGTGGAGGTTGCGGTGAGCCGAGATCGCGCCATTGCACTCCAGCCTGGGCAACAAGAGCAAAACTCCGTCTCAAAAAAAAAGATTAGTTATTAATGACATTTGAAAACAATCATATACTTTATTTGAATATTTATGATATCATAATCACAATGTAGAGTTCATGGCTTAAAGAAATATGAACTCATCTCAGGTTCCATTTGTTTCACCAGTTAAATAATTTCTATCATAAATCTAACAATATGAATTTCAAACACTAGGTTTAACACTAGGGTTTTCTTTCCTAACATGAAACAAACTTGTATTTCACAACTTAAGCTAAGGTAGGAATGGAAATAATTTTGTGGTGTAACTGAAAATGTCCTTCTGCAACTTCTATATGTTCTTAACCCTTAGAAAAGAGACATTTATAATATTAATAGCTATAACAATTTTTGTTTGGTTTTTCTTTTTCTAGGATTTACTCACCAGACATAAAGCATTGGTAGCAGACTTCTTAGAACAAAATTATGACACGGTAAGTAGAAATCATTTTTAAAGACTTTACTGCTTTCTCTTTCCCTCCCTCTTAGATCTATGAGCACTTGCCCCTGTGAATTATCCACAAGAGAAATCAATCGTATTCAGCCATACTCCTGATTTGTCTGTTTACGGGGTCATCACGAAACTATATGGAAAATTGAGGATGGTGGGAGGTCAGAGCTTTCGCCTTTTTCACATCTCTTCCTGTGATGCTCTGAAGCTCCAGGAAATGACGAGCACCTGCCTGCTTTGATGTTGCTCTTAGTAGGAAACTCCAAAGGAAGAGAATCCCACCTTCACTGTCTACTTGGTTGATAACTGCTCTTACTTAGTAGCAAAAATACCAAAAGTATTTTTATCTTACAACTCTCTTCCCTGACGATAAAGAGTGAATCCAACTCACCCTTTTGAGATTTGGTTGAAATGTCACTCTTTAGGAAGCTTTCCCTAATCCCACCCCTCCCAAAACACGCATCCTACCTCTCCCCACTGCCCCCTACCCACCACTTGTCTCTCTCTCTCTCTCTCTCTCTCTCTCTCTCTCTGTCTCTCTCTCTCTCACTCCCCTCTTCCCCCGCTCCTCCTCCCCCTCCATCTTTCCTCTCTCTCTCTGGCTTCTTCTTGTTTTTTACATTGTATTATTATGGTGTGTCTGTATCTTTCTGGCTGGTCCTAAGAGGCAGATCTTATCTGCTGGACACAGGGTTTAGAGCACAGTGTGGACTTTAGAGTCTGCATGCTTGCTTGCCTTCAAGACCTGCCTCCTTACTAACTCTGCGGCCCTGGGCAAGTCACTACACCTAGTGCAAAATGAAGATAGCAATAATACCTGCATCATAGGAGGGAATTTGACAAGATTTAAAATTTTTAGCACAGTACCACAATAAGTACTCAGTATTAGTGTTTATCAGTATTACTTGTTTTCCTAATACCTAATTCAGTGTCATGCATTTGGTGGTGACAGTTCCATCGAAGAGCAACTAACTACGCTTTTACTAAATGTATAAGCAATAGAAACAGAATGATTAAAGTATAATATAGCACAAACCTAGAAGCAAAACTTCACAAGTTTTGTTTTAGTGTCGGTTCAGATGCTCTAGCTCAGTGCTGTCCAGTAGAAATATAGTGTAAGCCAGAAATGAGAGCCACTGTGTAACTTAAAATTTTCTAGTTAGCCACACAAAAAGGTAAAAAGAAACAGGTAAAATTAATTTTAATAATATATATTTATTTAACCCAATATATAAAAAATGTTATTTTATTGTACAATCAATATGGAAAATGATAATCGCCTCTCAGTCTTTTGGCTAAGATGAAGTGAAAAATGGTTGAGCTATTTTACATCCTTTTTTCATACTGAGTCTTTGAGATCTGATGTGTATTTAACACTTAGAGCACATCTCAGTTTGGACTAGCCACATTTCAAGTGCTCAGCAGCCACATATGGCCCTATGTTGGAGAGCATGCCTCTAAACTAGGACTTAGGGAAGGGGGACTCTCTGATCCTCATGCCAGCAGCAGCCAGAGTTATTTTTTGCTGGGATTTTTGGCATTATTACGTGTGTTAGTTAATGTTGCTACTCTATCCCCATCACCCAGTCTAGTGCCTGATACATAACAGCAGCAATGTTATCTGCTGTCTTAAAGGAGCATTTAACTGTTTATATTATTGATGCCCAAACCAAGAAGTTCTAAATGTTTGTGTGTGTGTGTGTATATATATATATATATATGTGTGTGTGTGTATGTGTGTGTGTGTGTATATATATATATATTATGATGAGTGGATTTTTTTGTCTTCGTCTATTAAAAGCAAAAAACAATTTCATGTGTATATGATATTTATGGTAGTAATAAGTAAATTAAGATAAAGTATCTTTATTGATTGAAATCTTTAGTATTGAATTAAATTATATGTACTTACAAAGAGAAATATATTTTTGATGATAACTATGACTTTATGCCTTCCCAACAGTATGCAGTATAGTTGGGCACATAATAGGCATATGGACCAGTGGTAGCCAACAAGTATTAATAATAGTCTTCAAGGAGTCTCTGAACCATGTATACTCTAGACAAACTTGCAATGTACTCAACAAATGCTGGGAAGGTGTGGCCCCCACTACCTATCAGTAGTATATCTTCACAATCCAAATCACAAAAATTTAACTATTTCTTTTTTAATTATAAATAAAATAAATTTTATTTTTCCAGGTGTCCTTCAATTTAAGATTAAGTATTAGCAATATAATAAAATCAAAAGTGATTTTTATGTCCTCAGGTTATTTTTTAAAAATCCATAGAATCAACTAGAGTATTTAAGTGTAAAATGTGAGGGAAGAATGATTTTTTAAATTGATACATAATAATTATATGTGTTTATGGGGTACACTGGATATGTTGATATATGCATACAATTTGTAATGATAACATCAGGTGATCAGGATGCCCATCGCCTCAAATATTTATCATTTCTTTGTGTTGGAAACTTCTGAAACCTTCTCTTCTAGCTATTTTGAAATATACAGTAAATTATTAACTATAGTCACCCTACTGTGCTGTTAAATGCTAAAACTTATTTCTTCTAACTGTATTTTTATACCTGTTAACCAACCTTTTTTCTTCTCCTCTGCCTCCTGTCTTCCTCAGCCTCTGATAACCTCATTCTACTGCAAGGAGAATAATTTTTATTGCCAGAGGAATCCCAAAACATAAAGACTGAAAGAAAATTGTATATTTTTGAGTTTAGGAAACAAGCTGTTAATATATAACTTGGTTGTTCAGTAACTGTATGTGCTAGATGGAATGTTAAGGAAAGATGCATTAGATATCACGCTTATAAGAAATGAAAAATTTAAAAGGCTAAGATAACATGGAAAAATCTACAGTATCAACTAATTACTAATCTCTCCTATAGAATGAATGAGGTAAATGTGTTGTGCAATAACGCTTTGCATTCAGGGATAATGCACAACAATTTGAGAGACTAAGAAATTCATTCTTTTCAACTCCTTATTTACCTAATTTTGGTTTTATATCCGTATGTCACTTCTTGTGTAATTTAGCAATTTCCCAGTTGCTGAGGCTCCTGCATTGGCCTGAGTACAAGCCCTGAGAACTTGTGCCTCTTCAAACTCTTTTCCTTTCTTTCCTTTCTTTTTTTTTGTGACAGAGTCTCGCTCTGTTGCCCAGGCTGGAATACAGTGGTGTGATCTCGGCTCACTGCAACTTCTACTTCCAGGGTTCAAGTGATTCTCCTCAGCCTCCCAAGTAGCTGGGACTCTACACATCCACCACCATGGCAGGCTAATTTTTCTATTTTTAGTAGAGATGGGGTTTCACCATGTTGGCTAAGCTGGTCTTGATCTCCTGACCTTGTGATCTGCCTGCCTCAGCCTCCCAAAGGCGTAGTTTTTATTTCTTCAGCAGTACACCATGAAACTGGAGCACATGATGCATGACTCTAAAGTAATAAACCTGGTAGACTGGGGACAGATCATACCGTATACATGTATTTACATTTTATAGTTACTATTCAAATTTATCACAAGGCTTGTTGGATGCATTTAATGATCCACAAAATTCTCCTTGTGTTTCAGGATAAAATAAATAAGTCATTCATATAAAAGAGCATAATTACTGTGATTTTAATATGAGCTACACCTTTATATTTTTACTTTTCACTTCATTAATTCTCTGTTGGTGATTGTCAGCGGGCACAGTTTGCCCTCATTACACAGCTGCACACACACACCCCTTGCAATTGACTCTCCGAGGGCTGGTAGTCTGTCACCCTCTTCATTCAGTTCCTGATCTCTTGCCCTCCATCCTGGCTGCGGTTGTTCCTTCCACTTCAGTGCTCTCTGAGCTGTGTGCCCACACATGGTGGAAGCGAATGCTGAGCCTCCCCAGAGGCCAGCACTCTGTGTTAAACTGAAGGGCCTAGGCCATGGTTGGTGACCACATTAGGAAACAGGACTGCATGCACCAGTGTCCCCAGCTTCCGATGAGAGTGAAGTGCTCCAGAGAAACCAGTTGGGCTTAATGAGCTGTCATGCAGCAAAGGTTGCCTCCTTCTTCATCTGTTCATGCAGTGAATTGGACAGTCCTACTCTTTATGGCTTGCCAAGTGAAGCCTTAAATGTATTTAATATTTTTCCAGATTGTGGACCCATAGCCACCAACAAGGCTGCTTCCATAAAGATTTCTTTAAAATGGCACAAAATGAGTTCTCTTGCAACTTTTACTAGTTTTATTCAAAGTGATTTTGAACTCAAAATTACTTAGTTTTTCTACTCATTTTCTAATTTGCGGATCTAAAATAAAATAGGGGAGGATGTCTCTTGTAACTCTTGACCTCCCTGTCCCCGCGTCTTCACCTTAAAGGAGGATGGTAAAATGGCTAGAAGGAGGGAATTTGCTCCTGAATAAGAGAGCAAGCAAGCCTAATACAGAGAATGCACTGCTGCTTTTACACTCTAATGTATTTTTCTTTTCATTAGATTTTTGAAGACTATGAGAAATTGCTTCAGTCTGAGAATTATGTGACTAAGAGGCAATCTTTAAAGGTAATATCAAATTCCTTTAAGTCAGTGTCCCTGTAAGTTGATATCTCATTAGCAAATGATGGGTCTGTTAGCATTTGAGTAAACACAGAAAAATTAAAATAACTTTTTTTATAACTTGAGAGGTATTTACTATGTTTTATGTTATGACTGTATTTTATAGCAAAATAATATAAGTGTCCTGTCTTACCTTTGGAAGTAACAATATACATAAGTACACGATAAGTATAATTTAGAATATTTCTACTGAGGCCAGGCATCTTGGCTCACACCTGTTTGACTGAGACAGGCAGATCCCTTACTTTGGGAGGCCGAGGCAGGCAGATCACCTGAGGTCAGGAGTTTGAGACCAGCCTGGCCAATGTGGCAAAACCCCATCTCTACCAAAAATACAAAAATTAGCTGGGCGTGGTGGTGGGCACCTGTAATCCCAGCTACTCAGGAGGCAGAGGCAGGAGAATCGCTTGAAACCAGGGGGTGGAGGTTGCAGTGAGCTGAGATTGCACCATTGCACTCGAGCCTGGGCAACAAGAGCAAAACTCTGTCTCAAAAAAAAAAAAAAAAGTATAAAATGCAAAAATTAAACCTTCTCTCTAAGTTTCAAGCATAGCAATTGATAAATTCTTGTTTATTTATCAATTGATAAATAAATTGATCTCCACTCACTGCAACTTCTGCCTCCTGGGTTCAAGCAATTCTCCTGCCTCAGCCTCCTGAGTAGCTGGAACTATAGGCACACACCACTACAGCCAGATAAGTTTTGTATTTTTAGTAGAGACGGGGTTTCACCATGTTGTCCAGGATAGTCTCGATCTCTTGACCTCATGATCCTCCAACCTCAGCCTCCCCAAGTGCTGGGATTACAGGCGTGGGCCACTGCACCTGACTGATAATTCTTAATATCTTTATTTTTTAGTATAAAATAACTTTTTACTATCAAATTAGATACTTGAAGTGTTATGGGCTTCTGTTTTATGGGAGGCGTTTATCTCCCAGATTTGTAACATATTTTCTTAAATAATTTTGTACACTACATTTCATCACCAGGTCCCATTCCCTGAGTATTTAGGTCAGTCAGTGTTTTCTGACCTAGGTTGATAAAAATACTTCCGCCACCTAACATGACCTGTTCACATTATATTTACAGAAGAGATGGAAACATGAAACATGATTGTTCCTTAAGAATTAGAAGAGAAAAAAAAAGAAAAAATTAAACAGCACTTTGAAAAGAAAAAAGAATTAGAAGAGAAATGTTTTTTAAAAACCAACTCTAACAAACAGATACATGACCCCTATACGAAACTTTGCTTTTCTAAAATACTGCCAGGATTACACTGAAACAGAACCTGGCAAGAGATTAAAAGACAGTGCAGCTAGCTGGAAACAAAAATAAAGTCAATTCTCAATTACCCGTAAATAGCATAGTTTGATGAATTATTGGAGAAGGAGGTGTGAGGGAGGTAATAAGATATTCCATTTAGTCAACAAATATTTATAGGCTTATTCTCCAGATATATGATGACAGCTAACAACAGCTTTGGACCTCACATTCTATTAGTGGAAAACAGACAATAAGACAAATAAATACATAATTTTCAGATGATTTTAAGTACTAAAAAGAAAAGTAGGGAAAGGAGGCAGAAAGCGGTGACTTGGAGGATGGTGGGGAGGTGTGTACCAGAGTAGCTAGACTGTCAGTGAAATCTCTTTGATAAGTTGATCTTTGAACAGAGGGCTAAATTTGTAAAAAATTAAGATGATTCTGATAAGGAGGTGTGTGTGAGTGTGTGTGTGTGTGTAACCAAATTAATTACATCTGCTACTTGAGGTTATGCACCTATTAACTGGCTATTAAAATGACAGAGTAAAACCACATCCATCCATGAGTGGCCCTCCCTCTCTCAGTGGAAAGGTACCTGGAAGCAGCCATGTGGCCTATGGGAGGAGCGAGAGCCCCTGAGGGGAGGGAGATGTGGACGAGAGCTGCATCTCTGCCCTGCAGATCCCACTCAGAATCCCACAAAAACAATGTTTTCAGCAGATGATAAAACTATTTTTAGTGCGGCAACTGGTGTGATGGTCCACCTTGCTGAATGTCACACTTGTATTATTATGTTTTCCTTTTTTTTCTAGATTTGGATATAGTGGCACACACTTGTATTATTTTTACATGCCAAGATGATGGCATTCGTAGAACAATGTATTTGCTTCTAAATTTGGGGTCTAATTTTGTGCTTAGCTAATAAAGTCAATCTGTTTTGTATCACATTTTTGTCAATTTACTTTGCCCACGATCCTGCATCAGCCATGACCTGGTTTCTTTTGGATTTGCACCCTCACTGGGTATTAATGGGAAGGCCATTTTTTAGCCATTCATCCATCACTTTTTATTGAGTTTCCCCTTTGTGTAGAAACTCATACCAGGAGACCTATCTAGAAAAAAGGCCCACAGATATGCTGCTGTCTGGGCTGGAGCCAGTAGTGATGAGACCAAACTATGTGTGGAACTGACCTTTGGGCAGAGATAGTGACCTCTGTGCTGTGTTCTTCCATGTCCAGAAAGCTTGCTAAGAGCAGATGAAGATATGGACGTATCCTGTTTATACAGCTGCATATGTAAAGAATAGAACTCTATTTGTAGGGCTCCACAAGGATAGCCACAATGTGGTAAGCTTGTCCATGGAACAACGAGTAGTGCCCTGAAAGGAAGATGGCAATTGCAGTAGTAAACAGAAGTGATGATGCTCTGAAGGGCCAGCATATAGGAAGTTGCTTGAAAATTCTCCAAATCCTTCCTGTTTTTCAGTGGGAGTCTATCAGATACTGGATCAAAATTGAGAGATTTGCATGAACTAAGGTGATTGAACCAAATTAGGAGGAAGAAAACTGTTTATCTTTCCTACTTACTTACAAATGCCCCAGCCTACTCACGAGACATCTTTTCTGGTTTTCATTAATTTGCCCAGATATACAATTTGGCTGTGATTCCTGCCTAAAATCTCTACAGTTAGGTGTCTCATGGATGTCTGATTTATAGCATGGTAAAACCAAGCACTGATGGGACACTTAAAAAATGCAGATAAATTACCTAAGAATGCAGAAAGTATTAAAATAATTGTTACTGGAGAGATGGCTTTTTTAAATGTTAGATTGTAGGAAGAGATGTTGCTAAAATGGTTTTGCATCACTTTGTTCAAGCGAACAAAAGGTAGACATGAAATAAGTTCATATGTAAACATCAAGGTCATTAAATTACTATTGTTTGCTTTTTTTTTTTTTAACTAGAAAAACATTCTGGAAGCTCCACTGATGCAATTTTGGCTTTTCCTTTTGGGAATTAGATCTGCGGTAGCAGGATATTCTATTTTGACAAAACTGTGCTTATATATAGATGGATTCTATAATGTTTTACATTGATGTTTCATAATGGCAGGAAACAAGAGAGGTTAGATTATTATACAGTGACTTTGTAAGTAATAAACTGTCTTAAGTACTAGGCTATTTTCTGATTCCAAGGAAGTTGCTACCTGCTGCCTTTTGTTAATCATATTCTAAATTTGCCTGTACTGTCTTGGGATGCTTAATTCCCAGTGTCAATTAAAAAATAATTAACAGAGAAATTCCTTTCCATCATGTGACAGAGCTTAGGAATTTCTTTCTTATCTTCTGCAGAGAGGCCTGGCATTTAATTACCAGCAAGAAGGATTATAATTCAAAAGAAGCTTGGTGGAAACTGGGGAATTTTTTGGGCTCTGGTCAATTTCATTAAAACACTTAAGTTTCTAAGAAACTTATTTCCACTTGCTGCATAGCTTAACTATGTACTATGAGGCATACAAAATAAGAAATTTAAAGAAATAAAATATGTGTGTTTTCCATTTACTTAGTATAGTATTGCTTTATAGTACAGTACTTTGTATTATTCTGGAATGTAGTATTTTGTCATTGTCAATATTAAAATAGACTAACATTTAATGGCTAAAAAATTTAGTGTTGAATTAACACAATTGTTTCAGAAAAATTATGAAATTCTATTAGCAGAGGATAGATTGGATAGAATTTATATATAGGTATCCCCAGGTAATAAAAGTTGAAGTGATCTAGTCCAAACTTAACTCATAAATATACCTTCAGCAAATGTTTATTGAATATATGTGTGTAAATTTTCAAAAATGTAATTTTCTTTTTGCTGAAGCCTTTTAACGTGTGTATATGTCTATTCAGTATTTGATTTTTTCTGTATATATCTTTAGAAGATAAGTAAGGCTCTTGACAGCTTTACAACTTGGAAGTCTTTTAGTTTTGTTTTTTCCTTTTGGAAGGTCTGGAAGCCATACTTTCGAAATATAAGCATCTAGGAAGATGATACTATCTCCCTGTCACCAGGAGAGTTTAACCTGTGTGCCCTTTTCCAAGCTGCATCTATTTGCTTGTTAGAGAGATAAGGGAAGTTTTGTTATTCAGATAAATAGCTAAAACAAATGGTCACCTCAATTGCTAGGTGAATTAGGGCAAACTATGAAAGAGTGCACAGAAATGGTAGTCAGGTCCTCCTCTAGTGGACAGGTTACCCTGCATCTTGAGGATGTATGTATGTAATGGATTTTAGCTGTGTGACTGTAATAAGGCAGAGTTGTGTCTGTTATGCGGTCTCTTTTTCAGAGATTAGTAACTGTATCAGTAGGACTTTTATTTTCCCAGCAATACCCATGCACATCACACAGTTAGGTTGTAAGGGGATTTGAGACTGTTTAGAGAGTAAGCCGCTTACTCTCTAAACAGTCTCACAAATAACTGTACTGCAATCAACTGTAGAGAAGAGGAAAGGCTTTCCCAAAGATGACGTCTGAGCTAGTTCTGAGCTAATTCTGTCCAGGTTTGGACAGGCAGAGAAGAGGTGAAAGTGGGGAAGATTTTGGAGCCGGGGAGGCAAAGCCACAGAGACAGGAGATTGGGGAAGATAGAGAAAGGGAGCCAAGGCAAGGAAGCAGGAGAAATGATTCCACATCACAGAGGCTGGGAATGCCATCTTAATGAGTTTACCTTTTTTCTAAATCTATGGGAATCTAGGAATTTGCTGCTTTATGCATTCACTTTCTAAGTGGAATTGGTAACAAATAGAGCTGATTTTCGGGAAGATTTCTCTGACAAAATGTGCAGAATGGGTTGGATTAGGTGAAGACTGAAGGAGAGACCATTTTGCATGCTGTGGCAGTAGGTCAGCTGAAAGGTAGTGAGGGTTTGAATGAGATTACCAGCTGTGAACATTGAATGAAAGGTGTTCAAGAAACACTTAAAAACAGAAAATTGGTAGATCTTGGATGGAGATTTGATGTGAGGAGTAAAGAAGAGAAAGATGCTAAGGAAGACTTCAGCTCTCTTTTCAGCTGAAGGAGGGCAGCTCCTGATGCCATTAGCAAAGAGAAGGAAGGGAGTTGGTTTTAGAGATGTGAAGTGTGAAGGACCAGCAGTGTTCAAGCGGGCCTCCCCAGTGAGCAGTTAGAAATGTGAGTCTAGAGTTTAGGAAAGAAGCTAAGACTAGAAATGTAGATTTGGGAGACATCTTCCTAGATGTTACAGTTGAACCCATGGGCATAGATGAGACTGTTGGGAGATGGAAAATAGCAGTTCCATGTAAACAGCTTGGAAAATTACTGCATAAGTGGTACAAAAGGCAAGGGAGCCATGGAAGAGGTAGCAAAGGAACAAGCTGCACGAGCTAAAAAACCAGGAGCAAAGGAAGTTTTCAAAAGGTATTAGGTTAGTTTTAGAAGCTGCAGAAAGATTAAGGAGGATGCAGGCTAACAATTTGACTACATGGTTGCTGTTTCATGTATATGAGAATAACTAGTCACCAGCCAGCATCCAACAGTTGTCATCCTTTTTTCAGGTTTAACAAACCTTATTTTCATGTACTAAAATAACCTCAAGTTGTGTACTTCTTACTTGTTAAATAGACAAAAGATACATCACAGGCAATGTGGTGGTTTATTGGCAGCCAGACACTTGTACCCATCTGGGACTCCTTTGTGATAGACAGCTGGCCCTCAGTTTGATGTGCTTTTCTTCCCATCCAGGATTTTTGTAACCATGTAACAATGTTTTATTCTCCTGAGGCCTTCAGAAAAAGTCTAGTAAATAGAACAATTGAAAACTAAATATATCTTCTATATAAAATTACGTTATGGTATGTTTAGCCCTCTGGCTGCTGAAGCTTTAGGAATTGCTACAGCAGCCAGGGCTGTCAGTCTGTTCTCCAGAATACAGTGAGAAAAAAAAGTTTCTGAGATAGAGCAATAATACATTCAGCCATATTGCTAGAAGGTCTTCAACTTTTCTTACTTTTGGTATTTTTATTTTGTTTCAGGGTAGTGCTGTATTTGGGGAACTATGAATTTGTCACCTAAAATGTTTTGCTTTGCTTTTTAATAAAAACTTGCTGCACTTACTAAATTTTATATGGATTGGGCTCAACTATTTTTCTTGGCTTTATATCAGATTTTATAATATAAGTCGGGAAATGTAAAAGTCATTTAACAAACTGACTTAATAACGAACTCCTAGCATACATTTATTCAGGTAAAGAAGGTACCATTTTGGTGCCAGTTTTGTTATTCCTTCTATCTGAATGCCTACAGAGCAATACATTGGTAGGAAGCAAGATAATTAAAGTAAGTATCTAAAATCATAAATATTTCTGCCTAGCTCTAGGTGAGCTGCAGTAAAGACTGACTAAAAAAAGGCACTAAGCACTGACATCAGCAAAACAGTGTGGAAAACTTCCGCAATAACTACTGCTTTTATGCCGGTGCTTTGAGATGCACTTAAGGACACCCTAACTTTTTTCATGACACCATTCTTACTCATGTTTGTATTTTGTTTTTCAGTGAGAAGATGTGAGCTATATTTTGAGTCAGGTGGCTCTGAGATTACAGCTTTGGTTTTGTATTTCCCTGTAGCTGCTAGGGGAGCTGATCCTGGACCGTCACAACTTTGCCATCATGACAAAGTACATCAGCAAGCCGGAGAACCTGAAACTCATGATGAACCTCCTTCGCGATAAAAGTCCCAACATACAGTTCGAAGCCTTTCATGTTTTTAAGGTAAAGTACAAACTCTGAAAACGATGCTGTTGGCATTTTTTTTTCCAGTTCCAAATGGCAAACTCCCTGCTCTTTACTCTCATTCATACTTGAAAGAAAATGAGATAGGCAGTTTTGTATGATTTAGATGAAATTTCAGTTGTTTTAGTGAATGCCCATTCATAAAGGTTTCCTGACTAATCCACACATCTAAATATTTTTATTTTTTTCATGGAGAAAATGGGTGATAATCTTTCCCAAAACTTCTAAAACAATCAGTGATTGAGCTAGATCCGAAACCCTGAGAGTCAGCCTTGAATGCTTTGCTTCCTACAAGCACTGTCTCTTTGAACTTTAAATGAGACCCAGAAGACACAGCTGGGTCCTACTCACTTTATTAATGTTATTTTTTTTTTACAATGTATTCTGTTATAATAGAAAGGTAGCCCCTTTAGACAATAGATTTTTTTAACAGGTAGGATAGGTGGGAGAATTCTATTTGTGATTCCATATTCCCCTAGTGTAAATAGTTTAGTACATTTTATTTTCATGTGCATGCATTCCAGAGTTTTTTCTACAGTTGTATTCACATTGTACTAACAATCAATATCCTAATTTTATTACTTAATAATATTTCATAAGTAACCATTTTCATTATTGCTATAAATGGTTTTTAGAGCCAGTAGTTTTCTCACTATCATAGTGTATCACTGGGTATATTTCTTCTAATTTAATTAACTAGTCCTATGTCATTGATATTTAGGTTATTTTCATTTTTTCTTACAATAAGTAATGCTCCAAATGCATTTTATTCATCCAGCTAATTTTTTTCATAGTTAAGATTCTTATCTTATGATAGATATGTAGAATGGAAATAAGGGTGCAGAGAGTTCCAGAAATTTTTGTTCTTTTTTTTTAATATTTTAAAATTTTATTTATTTTTTAAATTCAGAGACAGAGCGTTGTTCTGTTGCCCAGGCTAGAGTGCAGTGGTATGTTCATGGCTTACTGCAGCCTCAAATTCCTAGGCTTAAGCAACTCTCCCACCTCAGCCTCTTAAGTAGCTGGGACTATAGACACGTGCCACCACACCCAGCTCAGTTTTTTATTTTTTGAAGAAACAGGATCTCACTGTGTTGCCCAGGGTGGTCTCAAAATCCTAGACTCAAGTGACCTTCCTGCCTCAGCCTCTCAAAGTGCAAGGATTGTAACTGAACACAAGTCGGATTGCTCACCACATGCAGAGTCCAATTAACAAGAGGCAGATCTAGTAGAAAGAAAGTGACTTTATTAGCCAACACTAGTGATAGGAAAGTGTCTAGATTCCCATCCAATGCAACTACTTTGCATTTTAGGGGCAAGACAAGGTTTTAAAAAGGACATCCAAGAAACATTTATTGAATAATAAACTCTTTCTTCACTGATTTATAATCCCTCCAAGATCAAATATCAAGTTTCAGATTGACATAAGTTTATTTCTGGGCCCTCTACTCTGTTTTGCTGTCCTATTGATCAATTTCTAAGCCAATACAATGTGTTTTCATTTACTTTAAATCCATAATAAGTCGTAATATCTGGTAGAGTAGATTCCTCTACTTCATTCTATCCTAGGCTATTGCTCTGCCCTACAAATTTTACAATTGGCTTGTCAAGTTCCAAGGAAAGGCCAGCTGGTATTTTGAATGGAACTCAATAGAATTTATAAATTAGTTTAGCATTTTAATTGCTCTAATGGTTTTTTTTTTCAGTCTTTAAAAATTTTATTCATTTTTTAAATTCAGAGACAGGGTCTTGTTCTGTTGCCCAGGCTAGAGCACATGTAAAAATTATACTGAGCACAATGTCTGTGTTTCTTGTTCTGGTGGCTGTCTTGGGTCCCAGTCCTGGTGGAAGCAGGCTGGCATCATCTCAACAATGGCTGGGTTGTTGACTAGCTACCTTGAGGTTATCTCTGGAATTTTGCAGCTGGGTCTCCAAGCTTGGTCTGTCTGACTGAAGATTCAAGTTTAGCCCCTGGAACTTCTAAGCAGGCAGATAATTAGATACCAGCATGCACTTAGATAAATGTGAAGGGAGTGTAACAGTGAGACAGTGAGAAAGGTGGCGGACATGGAGTCTATTTTAAGACTAAGGGCAAAGGCTCTTTTGGTTTGCTTTAAGCTTACATCTTGAAACCCAAGAGAAAGGAAAAGAAAGTTTTAAAATGCATTTTGAAGTTAAGCTTTCTAGATACAGGATTACAGGTGTGAGCAATAGCACCTGGCTTTGGTTTTTATAATGTATGTTAAGTGATAGAATTTCTAAGTCCATAAATGGGAGGCATGGCAGTTTATAAGTTAATTGTTGCTTTGAGAGGTAAGACATTTTAATTGATCTTTCAGCCACCAGATATTTATTAATTTATTATATATATAATGACTATGTGTGTGTGTGTGTATATATATATTTAAATTGAAGAGATGTATAGAGCGAGGTATGAGGAAAGGGACATGGAGCTTCCATGCCTTTCCTGAGCATGCCACTGTCCAGGAGCCTCCATGTTTTCAGCTATCTGGAAGCTCCAGCTCAGATATTTATCGTCCAAAAACCCATTAGAGCAATTGAAATCCTGAACTAATTTATAAATTCTATTCAATTCCATTCAAAATCCCAACTGGACTTTCTCTGGAACTTGACAAGCCGATTCTAAAATTTGTATGGTAGAGCAATAGCCTAGGATTTTCCGTGGCACTTTTGAAGAATGAAGTAGAGGAATCTACTCTACCAGATATTACAACTTATGGATTCAAAGTAAATGAAAACAGCATTGTATTGGCTTAGAAACTGATCAATAGAACAGCAAAACAGAGTAGAAGGCCCAGAAATAAACCTATGTCAATCTGAAACTTGATACTTGATCACGGAGGGATTATAAATCAGTGAAGAAAGAGTTAAGCATTCAATAAATGTTTCTTGGATAATGGATTGTCCATGTAGAGAATCTTAACCTATACCATACACAAAAATAAGTTCTAGATGAAGATCTGCACTTGAAAAGCAATGTTTTTTTAACTTTTAGAAGAGAAAATAAGAGGCTGTCTACATAATGTTGGGGTAGGAAGAATTTCTTTAAAAAGAAATAAAAATCACGAAACATAATAGAGATTTTTCTTAAGGCAGGATCTCACTATGTTGCCCAGGCTGGAATGCAGTAGTGTGATCATGGCTTGCTGCAGCACTGACCTCTCAGGCTCAAGCAGTTCTCCTGCCTCAGCCTCCTGAGTAGCTGGGAGTAGTTAGGCCTGTCCCTACCATGCCCAACTAATTCTATTTTTATTATTTGTACAGATGAGGTCTTGCTGTTTTGCCCAGGCTGGTCTCAAACTCCTGGGCTCTGGCCTCTCAAGTGCTGGGATAATGGACATAAGCCACCATACCCAGCCATCATAGAAAATACTTAGAAATGTGACCACATTAAAATTAGAAACTTCTGTTCAAAAAAGAAATCATAAACAAAATGAAAACACAGGGTAGAATATGACATATATAACTGACAGATCATTTAGATAAAGACAAATAATAGAAAAACAGGCAAAAGATACAAGTTGGTAGTTTACAGATGAGGAAACCTGATGGGCCAATAAATAGGTGTTCTTACTTGTAATTGTGGAAATGGCCATTAAAATATCAGTGAGATTCACTTTATGTTCTTCATATTGGCAAAAATGTTTAAGCCAACAACATCAAATTTTTGTAGGATTGGACAGCAGTGGGAACTGTCATATACCATATAAATTGGTATAATCACTTTGAAGAGCAATTTAGCAAAGTTAAGACTTGAAGCTGTGGATACCCTTCAACTTTGAAATCCATTTCTAGGTAGTTTTTTAGAGACACTCTTGGACAGGTGCATAAGGACTCACGTACAGTAAGTCCTCTCTTAAAGTCATTGATAGGTTCTTGGAAGTGGACTTTCAACAAAACCATGTACGTTACAGCAGGTCCTCAAATAACAATGTTTAGTTGTAAGCTTGATGAGGGGAAAAAACTGTTTACCTTATCTGTTGTTTTGCTTAAAATTATGGTTTCTAAGAATTTATTCACAGCCTTAAATAAGGACTTACTGTATAAAGATGTTTATTACAACATTGTTTAAAATGGGAAAACCATACATGGACACCAAGGGGAGACTGGGAAGACAAATTGTACTACACACATACAATAGCATATAATAGTGGGTTAAAATAGAGTTGTGTGGATCACTTTGCCTAATCTTAGAAACATCTGTTTGAGTGGAATGAACAAATATTTAAAGATGTCATTTATTTAAAGTTTGAAAACATGCAGAACAACACTAAGTGTGGATTAGTATATATGCAGTTAGAGTGCAAAAACATGCATGGAGGCCAAGCATGGTGGCTCAACACCCAGAATCCCAGAACTCTGGGAGGTGGAGGTGGGCGGATCACTTGAGGCCGGAGTTCAAGACCAGTTTGGCCAACATGACAAAACCCAGTCTCTACTAAAAACACAAAAATTAGCCAGGTGTGGTGGCACAGACCTGTAGTCCCAGCTACTCAGGGGGCTAGGGCTGGAGAATTGCTTCAACCTGGGAGGTGGAGGTTGCAGTGAACCAAGATTGTGCCACTGCACTCCAGCCTGGGCAACTGAGCAAGACTCTGTCTCAAAACAAACAAACAAAATGCATGGGAATGACAAATACCAAATTCAAGACAGTGGTCACCTCAGGAGAAGGAGTAGAGAAGAGAATAAGCGATGTCATACAGGAGTGTCCAATAGCTTTCAATTATACCTGTAATATTTTATTTTTAAAAAATCTGAAAAGTTTGGCAAACAATATTAGATTTTGATAGAGCCAGTGGTGAGCATATGAAGTCTGATATGTTATTTCTTTACTCTTCTGTGTATTAGAATTATTTCATAAAAAGTGTAAAAAAATATATATGAAGCCAAAATAGAGTGCCGTAGGCCTGGAAAATGCCTATGCATTGTAAAACGGTAGGCCCTCTCAAGACCCTTAG